GATGGCAATTTATACCAAAAAAAAAAGATATTGAATGGCTCAGTTATGAGTGCTCCATCTGGATTAGTCCTCCTCTTTACTTGCTATTTAAATAAAGCCACCCCATTCTCTATGAATTCAAGTATCCTCTTAGGGCAGAGTCAGAGGCTTAAGACCTGCCTGTCCAAAAAACCACCTGGTGCTAAGAGACAGGATGAGCCACAGGAGAAGAGAAGTAAATAGGGGCAGATTAACCGTATTTAAAGCCCAGATTCTCAGTGGAATAGTAACAGTCTGTTGTGCTACAGCACTGTTTTGTATAATACAAATCAGCTCACGTGATTATTAAATAGGGGAGTAATTAAAATAACATGGAAGGTGGGTTGGTTCATATTTAATTTTTCCTAGCACTTTGTCTTGTGCTACCAAGAAACAACAGCTGAATGTAAAGTACGCAGCGGACTCCACGATCCCACCAGGCCTGGAGGGAGATGGTATATAAATGCCATCTTTCATTGCATGGCACCCCATTCTTCCCTTGGCTTAGCTCAGCCCTGTGTTCCACTTTGACAGTGCTTAGTTTGCAATTCTCCTAAATCTTTGTGCAAAAGCCACAGCAGACAATGAATCAGGGCTATCCATCTCTGGCATCTCTACATTTTGTGCAAAGTTTGCAACTGCTTCTCCACCTGCAACCTCTGATGATAACGTTCTCCTGCTCTTGTTTCCATCACTCAGCAGTATCAACTCTTCCATAAACTCATTTTTCAAGCTACCTTCAACTCTTTTTAAAAGTAAATAAGTAATGATAGATTTTCTTTGTTAGGAATTGTGCAGTTCGGTAGTTTCCAAACTTTGCTTCATGTTACACTCACCTGGGGAGCTTCTGAGATGCCCAACCTCCCCCCAATACCATTTAATTCACAAAGTCTGGGGGTGGGGACCAGAGCATCAGTAGTTTTCGAAGATCTCCAGGTGACTTCAATGAGAGCAAAGTCAGAGAACTACTACTCTAAGTCAGTTCAGGTTTTGAGTGGTCCTTTCCAGATCTATTTTTTTTCCTTAAGCTGTGATTTTAAGTGAGCTATTTTTTTGAACGTAGTATTTACAGGAATGTACACTGTAGCCAAAATGTTTATATTACTCTGTAGGTTTCCAAGATAAAAATAATGTAAAGAATGCATAATAGTGGGGTGCCTGGGTGGCTCAGTCAGTTAGGCATCTGCCTTCGGCTCAAGTCATGATTCCAGGGTCCTGGGTGGAGCCCCACGTCGGGCTCCTTGCTCCCCGCGGAGCCTGCTTCTCCCTCTCCTTCTGCCCTCCCCCTGCTGGTGCTCTGTCTCTCTCAGATAAATAAATCAATAAAAATCCTTTTTTTAAAAGAATGCATAAAAGTATATAGAAGTATTTTATTAATATGCATTATCCTTTGTAAAGTGGAACAGTGGACCTCCAGAGATAGACTGGTTCTCCAGCCCGGCAAAGTAAAGTGAAAGCCATCTGAAGGGTAACTATATGTTCTGTGGCCTCGCCACTAGCTGGTGAGCAACTTGTGTCACATGCATGCAGTTCTACGGATTGGCCCCCTGTACTTCAGTAACAAGCAGTCCTGTCTTTTCCTGGGTCTCCCTACTCTTGCCATCCTTCCAATTCACCAACCACTATCACTGTGCAGCCCATGATTTGCTGTCTTCCCCACTGCCTTTCTTAACCACTATCTCTGAATCATATTTTTCCTGCTTTCCATTCCTACTGCTACAAATCAGAAACTCACACCTGCATTCCTGCTGGCCTTCTTAATCCCAGTTCCTACCACCACTAAATAATTAATGTGAGATTATTACGTTTCTCATAAAACCTTCCAAGATTCTAACACATATGCCTCTTCCCCTTCCTTAAGCACTTAAAATGTGTAACCACTCAAATTGTCCAATCAGGAAAAAAAGCAGTGAATAGAATATTGTAAGGGAACAAGCACTGGGACTGAGAGAAAGGTTACCTGTGATGTATGTCCTTCAGTAATCATAACTAATATTTATTAAGTGCTTATCATAGGCCAAACTTTACAAGAATTACTTTTAGTCCCCCAACAATTTGATGAGGTAAGTACCAAAATTTTCTCCATTTTACAGTTGGGGAAACTGCAGCAAAAAGATTAAGTAATCCATTCAAAGTTACACAGTATCCAAATCTAAACAGGCTAGTTCCTGAGTCAGTGTTCTTAATCATGATTCTGTACTGCTTCTCAATTAACAAGTTGGTTGTATTTGATTCTTTTTTTTCCATACCTTAACAAATGGAGTTTAAAGTGACTATCTTAATACCTTAAAAGACAAAGAAATATGAAAAACACTTTGTAATTTATAGTGTTAAATGAGCTAATATTTCCACATCAATTATCTTTCTTTATAATTTGGAATATTTATTGTTTTTCCATGTACTAATTATTTCATGTTTATAATTAAAGTTCTGTACTTATTCAGGAACTTCCTTGTAAGGAGAGATCATGATTTATGTCCTTTTCTGTCTTGGAAAACCCTAGAAAGATTTATTCAAAATTGCTAACTGGTTGACACAATTGGTTGACACTTTTGGAACTCATAGGAATGTAAATCAATAAAAAATAAAAGTAAATAAAAGTTCATACCATGTTAGGTTAAAAGTAATATTTTCCATGGGCCATTCACAGAAAAGTGCAAATTTAGTCTCGCCAGATCCTAGTATGAGTCTGATGCTTCAGGTTAATGAAAGAATACAGGATACAAGGGGAGATGAGTTATGTCCTGCTTCTCAGGACAATCATTAAGATCCTCCCAACAGTGCATCCAGAGACCCATGTTATATACATTGGTTTCTACTAACAGAAAGTAACTCCCGGGAATGTCATGTCTACAGATTCTCCTTTCTATCTTTCTTCTGTGCTATTCTTGATAAATCTTGACTGTTGTTCTAGATACAGGCAATTGGGTTACTAATGAGGGGGAGGCTCACGACTGGGGTGGGAGATATATACAATATTAGATTAGTCTTAAATGAACTAAATATGAAAGCAAAATTTACTGTTCTGCTTAAGGTTTAGATTCAGAACTAATGGGATAAAATGAGTATCTATTCCAGCATTCTTTAGTTGACTCCTTTTAACAGTAATAAGAGTATCATTGAAATGAGTAGCACTTTGAGAGGTTTTCACAGAAACTAAAGGTCTCACTGTACCTCTTCATTTTTTAGTTGTCAGATGTTTATACATATCCTTGTCCTCTTGGAACTTAATTTTCCTTTATGAGGTGTTGAGCTCTCTATGTCCATGTACTCCCAAGGTCATCTGGATATAACTCATTTTTTTTGTCTTACTAACTGGACTCTTCCTTATCCATAGGCTTTCTCTCAGCCTCTGTGATCCTTAGCGACTACAGAAAACACAGCAGTGTTAAGACCTGCGTAAAAAAAATTTCAAACCAATGAGACTGTGATGCTCCATAAAAACTAGACGTCTCCTATTTATCTGGCATATTAATTTAATGGGAACTACACGAGGTCATAAATTTGGGATGTATCTATGATAAAATTATTTCTGTAAGTTCCTATATAATGTTACTAAACATTTTGAAACATAAGCACTCTAAGAGATGAAAAACTACATGGATTATTCATTTTAAAAACATAGCACATTATTTTTTAAAAACTCCTTACTAATGATACCTCATTTATCACTAATTAGTACTTTGTTTTTCTTTTATTTCAATGTCTAACATTTGCAAATCACACAATATCTTCATTTTTTCACTTATGGGAGATACTTTCATTTTTCCCCCTAAAAATAATGGGACACTCACCACCTAATTCCTGACTATATGTGGTTTCAAACAGGTCAGAGTAACTTTCAGTATATAAAATATTAACCATTCGGGAGTCATTTTTGTGGGTATGCTGTAAGGAAAACAGATGCTTCACTTTTCAGAAGAAAACTGCTGACGCTGCAAGTTATTTCAAACCCACAGTTCTTCAGTTAAGAAACCACAAGCCTAATAAAACCATAAAGAGATTTTATAAAAAGAATAGCTCTCGCCGGTATTTTGTATATAGATCCTTTTCTAACTTCAATTGTACGTTACAGTAAAATAGGGAGTGATGTTTTCTAGTGATATGTGGGTAATAACCCAAAATAATACCTGTGACAGGACATAAGGAAACAGAGGCCCAGGTAAGTTGCTGTTACTTGTGCAAGGACACTCACGTAATTCGTTAGCAGAGCCAAGTCTAAAACCCAGTCTGGTGCTTATCTGGACGCCTCTTCCTGCATCAGTCCTTTCCGAGGCGGTCCAGCAGACCTGCCATTTATTTACTAATTTCATCCTGAGGACCGAGAGGCTTTGTGGCGTGGTAAAGGGAAGGCAGTTTTCGGAGGCTCATATATCTTTGTGTTTGTAGTCAGTTTCTTAAATAAATGAGTAACAACACCTCCATACTGGAGTACTTTCAGAAGCAAACGCAGAATACGCGAACATGCTTTTTACTGTAGTGTTCTCCAGAGATGTATACCGTATGGTCTCAACGTGCATAATTTTGTCGTGGGCCACTGAGCTCCTAAATGATGAATTTTCGGCCCGTGTGGCAGAAAACCAAGGATCATACACCACTTCCCTACACCCACATTTCATATGAGAACAACATTCATCTCTCTACTCGTGATGAAAACACCTTGTTTCGTTTTCTCCCGCCTCTCCTGTCTTCTCTCAACATTTTCCGCCCGTAACTTCTATCACATTGTCTTTCCCTCTACTAGAAAACTCGCTCTCCCACCTTCTCTTTCCTACCCCACCTTCAGGAAGCTTCTTCCCTCCTTCCGCCTCCTGCTCGCTTTTGTCACTCTGGGCCGCTAAGATCGCCGACCCGAGAAACAGCGAAAACACTACGCACGCGCACTAACTCGCCAGCCCTTTGCCTCTCAAGTGTGGTTGGCCGGTTTCTTTCAATCTCTGACTGGCCCAGGCTACGGTGCTGTAACTCTCGCGATACTTGCTGCCACCAGTCGGCGGGAGCCGCCACTCGTTCCTGGCGGGCGTTTTTAGCTCCAGTTGTCGCCTGTGTTGCTGTGGTGCCCAGAGCGGCCGGGCCGAGCATCATGACGTCCGCCTTGGAAAACTACATCAACCGTATCCTCGGGCCGGCTGCCGCGGGCATCAGTCGGGGCCATCGCGAAGCCCGCGTCCGCACTGGAGAGGGCTGGTGCTGGAGAGACCGGGGGTCGGGAGAGGCGGGCGGTTGGGATGCCCGGCCACTGCGGGGCCTGGGCTGCGGGTGAGGGGTTTAAGGACCTGGGACCCGTCAATCCCGCTCCCGGGGCTGGAGCCCGCCGCCCCTGGGGGCCCAAGGCGCCTTTTAATTTTAACTTAAAAAAAAAAAAACAGGGCAGTGTTTATTCCGAACTTTTCCCTGTCTCTATAGAAATCAGCTATCTGTTCCTCTATACTACCCTAGGGCCTATACGTTCACATTTGGGAATAAGATCAACAGTCGTCCTAGCGGCGAGGAGGGTCTCGCAATCCAAGAATTTGTTTTATTCATAGGCTTTGCTTACTGTTCGAAGATACCAAAAACTTTAAAGATGGTGCACAAGTTGAATTTCTGCCCCTTTACCACTTGAAGTCTCAACTTCTTTGTTGATAGAATGAAAATAATGCTTGCTTATTTACGAATAATGCTTGCTTGCCCTTACGAAGGGCAAATAACTTATAAAACCCCGTGTGAAGTCTTAATGTACCCTATAGAAGTACTATCATTTTAAAATCTCAGGATAGAAACATTACATTGCTCTCATGTATAAATTTGGGACAAAAGTGAAATACTAAAGGCTTAACGATGCAAGCATATTGGCACCTTGTGACATTGACTATAGCTTCTTTTTTGAATTCCATAGGCCAGGTCCTGGAAAAAAGTGTCTCAGCACGCTTGAAAACATTCAATATTGATTAATTATCACTAATTCAATTTTCCTTTTAGAGATGAACAGTTCTAGGAAGGGGGGAAATGCCTTCCTCCTAGTCCTATGGGGAGCATTCCCCAGTGAAAAAGAGTACCAAACATCTCCGCTGTTTTGAGATGGGGAAAAAACTGAGCACATACAGAAAGGGATTTTCTTTTCTATTTTTCCCTGTTTTAATTGTGTAATTATCACAAAGATTTGAGGAAGTTAGAAACTTAAAGATACGTTGTGAATGTAATGGCTGTCTTAAGTAGTTGTGTCTTAATTCTGTCACCTTTTTCCTAGTAATTCAAACCATTTCCTTAGGAGATCCCAAGTTTTCATTTTTATTCCCTGAGAATGCTTTCCTTGATTCAGTTATCAGGAACTGTTGCAGTTATAACTTCTGACGGAAGAATGATTGTGGTAAGTAGTAAGCATATTCATTCTCTCCTTGTAAGCTTATTGGTTGTAAATTTTTATGTAAAACTTCTGATCTCTAATGCCTAAGCATCACAGTACACTTGCATTGCAGTTTTGTTATGGTTCAACTCTTTCTTTGATAAATAGCTGCTGCTTCATATTTCCTTCATTAATAAACGTTGGGTGTAATTTACATAAAAAGTTTCTAGGAGCCAGGATGAATAATAGATTCTGTCCTCAGAGAGCTTCTAGTCTAGTCTTCAGACATCTGCCTGTATTTTATATTTATCTTCCTCTTCCATTTTTTATTTCCTTCCCCATTCAGTGCTCTGACATTCACTGCGCGAATCATAGTTGTTTTGAAATTTTGTATATGCCTCTTAGAAACTTTATGATTTAGATACTACATATGTAGAATAATGAACATTTAGGGCTTGTATGGTGTTAATATACTTTCAGTCTCTGTAGGTTGTAGAACCTCTGTTTTCTGTAGGACAAATTATGATGATTGACTCTAACTTTTATTTCATCTCATTTGTCCTTTTATCACAGTATCCTCCTTAATTCTAGAAAATTCTTGGATTCTCTCCTTGATCTGTTCTTGACCTGAGGAATTTATTTCATGATTTTTGGCTACTTAATTATTTCTTCAGTTACAGTTTATACATTGCTTGCTTTCAAAAAAGTTTTAAAGCTGTTAAGCTTTCTCTATTTTCTAACTAATTCATATATTTTAATCTCTTCTTTTCCCATTTTGCTGTTGTTTTTGTTTCTTTGCTTTTTTTAATTCTTGTGATTTTTCTCAGTGGGTCCATATGTGACTGTTATCGAAGTGTTAGACTCAGCCATTTATTTAAATGCATATCATGTACCAGGAACTTTACATGTATTATATCACTTAATCTTCAGTACAGCTCTGTGAAGAATTATCCCTGAATTTGAGGTCAGGAACCAGGCTCAGAAAAAGTGCATCACTTTCCCAGAGTCACTTAGATAAGAAGTGGGAGAACCAAACTGGAATTTAAATTCAACTTGACTCCAAAGCTAAAGCTAGTTGCCTTGCTTCCTTCTTAATCAAGAGAACACTCTTTTCTTTTTAGGCTCCTTAGTGTATTTTGTCAAATAAGGACAGTTTGAAATATTTTTATCTCATCTTAACACCTCAAGACATCTATTACTATTAACTTTATTTGCAAATAGTTTTTTTATTTTGTGAAAACCTCAAATTTAAATTTTCCTATTTTTAACAGGATTGATAATAACTTTGAGAATTAATTTAATTTTACAGAAGAAAGAAAATTATTTTAAAAGAGCATTTTGAGTGCTGAAGTTCAGTAGTTCTCTATTCTATTGACACATGGCTCACTTGATAGAATAGTTAGGTGTAAAATGACTTCAAGAGGCTATGTCTGGGTGTGTTAACAACTCTACTAATTAGTTTAGTGAATACCCCATACTTTGTTTCTCTTCCAAATTCTAGGTTATCACTTTCTCTTTATTGTATTCTGATTTTACGTATTTTGATTTTCAAAACATCAAACAGTTTAATAGTGAGCTTTAGAGAATTAACCAACCAAAACTAATATAAGTTGATATTTCTTCAGAAACTTAAACAGCATCTGAGCTACTGTGTTGTGCTAGACCCATATCTTCCTTTATTCAAAACCAAGATTCTCCCATAAAATTTTCTCTGAATATTTCCTTCAGGTTCTGGTTCTAATAATTACAATCATATTTGTATCTACCTTACTGGATTTTGGGAAGATTCAGTTAAGTAAATACATGCGAGGCCCATAGAATACTGCAGATAGTAAGTACTCGTTAAGTGTTAGCTGTTACTACCAGTTGAAGTTTGTATATATTTATGGGACTGATTTGAATCTCCGAAGAATGGTAAATTATATTTGTTTGTTCATAGTAATATAATATAGTGGTTCAGTGGTCTGGGCCTGAAGCTAGCCTTTTGTGGTTCAACTCCTAGCTCTGCTACTTTCTACTCATGAAACCTTGAGAGATTACTTAACCTCTCTGTGCCTCAATTTTTCTTCTCTGAAGTGGGAGTAACTAATATGTACCTCAAAGGATAAAAATTATTTGAGATAATGTGTGCAGTGTGTTTAGCACCTGGCCTAGTACTAAGGTGTAGCATGAAGTGATACTGTTACATTGCCATGGCTGGTATATATGCTTCCCCCTTTTTATATGTTTATGTAGTTTTCCCTTAAATTTCATTTGTTTTAGTCTGTGTCTAGTATTAGCTCCTGAACTATGTGCGCTTTTATGCTACCTCCTTACACTCTACTCACTAGTCAGATGTGTGGTGGTGTTTTCCCCATCTTAAAAAACCAAGAGGTAAGTTTGTTTCCCTGGATACTGTTGGTTATAAAGAGGTATTCTATTTTATAATGGATTTATATGTGAAAGAAGTACTTCTAAAATGATTAAAAATAAAAAAAATAAGTACTCTGTTGCTATACCTGGCAACTAAAATTTTTGCATCATTGAAATTACACATTAAGGTAAACCACAATATTTGTCTTTTTCTCTTGAATGTTTCTTTACAGGGAACACTGAAAGGGTTTGACCAGACCATTAATTTGATTTTGGATGAAAGCCATGAACGAGTGTTCAGCTCTTCACAGGGAGTAGAACAAGTGGTGCTGGGATTATACATCGTAAGAGGTGACAATGTGTAAGTAAAGTATGTCCTCTTTTTAAGACGGGTTAAATATACTACAGGTATATACTGCTTGCTATATGGAAAAGGTTTTTATCCACCGAAATTGGTCCATATTTCTGATAGTTAAGTGGCCTAGATAGGGTCCAGAAAGGGTCCTCCCTTACACTGAATGCTTCATTAGAGAGGCTTTTTAAAATGTTCTTTCAAAATACCCCTAATTTTAGAGCAACATAAATACACTTCTAGGGTCTAAGGCTAGGGTTTGAAGGTGCCTTCAAAATCTCTTGTGTGAACAGTTTTAAATAATTCATCTTCTATAAGTGTTAAATTTATAAATAAGTACTTTTCCATTACTTACTAAGTTTTTAGTACAATTGGAACACTTAAGATGCCCCATGTTTATGCTGTAAAATCAGTGAACTTGTGACATACTGATATGGCAGTTTGAGAAGACATATTTTTGTGGTAGCAATTTAAAAAGTCTGCAACAGTATAGAGAGAGTAATACTGTCCAATAGAACTTGTGATGATGGAAATGTATATCTGCATTGTCCACTATGTTAAGGTACTAGCCACGTGTGGCTATTGAGTGCTTGAAAAATGGTGTGACTAAGGAATTGAATTTTAAATTTAATTTAATTACTTTTAATAGTCCAATGTGGCTAGTGTAGTTAGAGAGGCTAGAAGATTGTTGGAATCAATTTTCTAGGGAGTATAGAATTAAAACATAGCTGGAAGTCTGCAAAAGATCTATTACACATCTCACATTATTTTGGAAGACAAATAGGATATAGAAGATGAAAGAATACTTTATTCATTTAAATTATTTATCTTAAGAAAATCACCTTTAGATAGATAAATTATTTGATCTTTAATTAAAAAATCAGGGGTTTATAAGATATTCTAAAGAGGTGAATTTTAGGTGTAAAGTTATAAAGTGAGCTCTAAAAAAAAAAAAGAGAGAAAGGCAAAGCATTTAGTGGGGACCAGTTTCCCTGACCAGAATAATAGTGATTATTTATATTGGGGTTCTGCCTAATAATTGATTTTAAGAAACTTTCTCCCACTTTGATTTAAAAAAAATTAAAAAACTTTTTTTTTGAATTTCAATTTAAAAAATTTAAAACCTTGTTATAGATTCAGTGATGTGCTACAGCCAGCTTGACTGGCTCACAGAAGCAGATTGTTATATTTTCAGGAATTTTGCAAGCTGGTTGATTGATGTTTTGTTGGTGGTAGCTTGAAATTGACCATAGTGGGAGTATTTGCACTATGGATATGAGTAAACACTGCAGAGCTGCCTCCCCCTTTTCCTTTGGAGAGCCAGTTTTTTTTGTTTTTTTTTTTAAAGATTTTATTTATTTATTTGAGACAGAGAGAATGAGAGACAGAGAGCATGAGAGGGAGGAGGGTCAGAGGGAGAAGCAGACTC